GGCTTTCGCCATCCCTTTTCTTTTTGTCTGGCTCTGGATCTTCACTGGTCCATTTCAGTCCAAACAGCCAAAGTCGGGAGATAAAGAAAACATTCTTCTGACCTTTGTTTTCGCCTGTGAAATATAGCCGCTTGGTGGCAGCATGATTTCACGAATGCATTCAGGTCCGCTCTTCCCCCGCCCTTTGTGTTTAGAAAAAAAAAAAGGTAACGCAGTCAAAAACTGCTTCCTTATAGAAATACAGAACTTTTCTGGCATTTTTATAGCCCCCAGGTTTTCCTAATTCTGAGCCAATAGAGGTAGCAGATGTTTTTCAATGTTTTTAATGTGTTTCTTTGATTATTGGGCTTACTGTATACTTTCTCGGATATGCATTATGATTTTTAAAAGACAGTTATATCTCCCATACAGCATATTTTCTTTATTAGAGCTGATTATTAATAGTAAATAGAAACATACTAAGTTGGTTTGTGCTACCATTAAAAATTCCAAACTGGGTACTTTATAACCATTAGAAATGAATTTTTCACATTTCAGAGGTTGGGAAGTACAAGACAAAGGTAAGAACTGGTTATGACCTCTCACTGCTTTCAAGATGGAGCATTGTTGTTTGGTACTTGGGACTGTTTTAATCACATGATGAAAGAGGAAAGAGGTGTCGAGGAATTCACCTCCCAAGGCATGTCTAATTACTCAATCTTGTTTATAATGTTTTGCCATCAAAAACATTCCAAAGCTGATGCCTCCACGTGTAATTGTATTAGTGATCACGTTCTGTGACCAAATAATACAGTTGTACCTAGCTGCCATATATTGAGCAGGCCTCTTAGATTAGCTAATGCTCCACACTGCACGAGTAGTTGCAGAATAACTACAAGCAGGATAGTTTTGTTATCATTTTAAAAGTGTGTCTATATAATACACATTTTTATAAATATAATTATATATACACATGATAATTTGTTTTAAAATAGCATAATTAGGAATCTAATTCAAAGACTTAGGTTATCGAGTGTTGGGAGTTATGTGTATTTGATGTTGTTTTCTGAGTTTTCCTCCTTGAAAAGCAAATATGTTCACTGGGTACAAAACAAACAGTGGCTGGAGCTCCTGGCTGGCCTGTTAGAATTAATTTTCTTCCATCATGTTAGGTTATTAAAAGGCATCTGTGGAGAGACAGAAGGCAGAAAGAATGAGAGGTCTGGTATGACCTTAGGAAGGACTATGTTTATTCACAGTAAAGGAGCATTTTGTTACCCACAAAATGCCTTCAGGGATTGTGGACCCCTTATAAGGCCACAAGTGTCTACATGGGAAGCGCTAAGTGTACTCTTTTATCAGGAAATTACCACTTAACACATTGGGAAAACTGAAGCAGTGATGATGGTAATGAGGCAGAATGGAGTTGGGATTCTGGACAACACAAAGTTTAGAGACACTTATGGAGACTACACAACAAATAACCAATGTTGTGGTTAGTTTTATGTAAACCTGACAAAAGCCTACAGACATCGGGGTAAGGACTCTCAACTGAGAATATGCCTGTATAAGTTTGGCACATAGAGATGAATTTATATATAGTTTTTATTGAAAGACAAATGTAAGCACCACAGGGGAAGATAACACCTTGATGATGTGTAAGACTGCCCTCCTGGTTTTTCAAAAATGAGGGGAAGGGTCTTGTGTTATCTGTGTATAAACTGCTAGCCGGTGATGGCACATGCCTTTAATCCCAGAACTCAGGAGACAGAGGCAGGTAGATCTCTGTGAGTTCGAGGCCAGCCTGGTCTATGGAGCTAGTTCCAAGTCCCAGGACAGCTAGGGCTGTTACGCAGAGTAAACCCTGTCTCAAACAACAACAAAAAATAGTGTATGAACTAACTGTTCTCTACACTCAGCTTGGCCTAATACTCTAGGTTGATGCCTTACTTTGCAAGGTTAAAAAATAAACTGCCTCACTTTTGCTACTCTTGAGTCTCTAGTACTCTTATTATGAAGTGAGAATCACTTCTGACATCTTAGAAATGTTTCCAAGGATATGGTTTTTCTTCCCAATGATTTGCCCCTTCACATATTTGATGCCAATTGAAGAGGCTCAAAAACTCTTGTTCAGATTACTAAAATTCCAAAGCAACCTATAGTAACGCACAAAATCCTTCCCAAATAATAAGTAAAGACTAGAAGCTTGATATTATATTAAAAAACAAAGGACTTTGGACTTCCAAATAATGGCAAAATATCAGATTCACTCTTGCAAAAACAAAGACTGTTGAACATAATTTCAGTGTCAATCTCTTTAGCTTCAACCTTTATTCCACTAAAAACATCCTTCCATAGGAAAACATTCCCTTTATCATTTTTCAGGGTCTGGGCAATCAAAACACCTCTGAAATGAAGAACATGACCAGAAAATAAGCACTGATAGTTAACATCAGATTTTTTTTTCCCAAAGAGGTTATTTTTTTATTAGTTCAAATTAGAAACAAGCCTGCTTCACATGTCAATCCCTTCTCCCTCTCCCTCTCCTCCTCCCAACCCCCCACCAGTCCCCCACCTCATCCTCCCTCTGCTCCTCAGGGATGGTAAGGCCCTCCACGGATCCTGGGCAGGGCCTAGGCCATCCCCCATGTGTCCAGGCTGAGAGAGCATCCCTCCATGTGGGATGGGCTCCCAAAGTCCCTTCTTATGCCAGGGATAAATACTGATCCACTACCAGGGGCCCCATAGAGTGCCAAGGCCTCCTCATTGACATCCACATTCAGGGGTCTGGATCAGTCCTGTGCTGGCCTCCCAGACATCAGTCTGGGGGCCATGTGCTTGTATGTTTTGTGATATGATTCAAAAAATAATCAAGTTTGACTTGAAGCTCAGTTATCTCATTGATTAATAATGTTTTACATTGTCTAAAAAGTAGATGTAACAGAATACCAAACACTCTTAATCTAATTTATATGTGGAATCTACAAAATGCAACACAGAAGCAGCCAGAACTAGGAGTGGACCTGGTTGGGGTGGTGTAGGATGCTGGTTAAAACATACAAAGTTTTATCTAGAAAAAAAAATCCATGAGAATCGTTGACAGTAAGCTTGGAAGTGCTTTCACAAGAAAAAAGTAAGCTAATGCACTTATTAACTCTTTAGCCATTCATATATATATTTCCAGAGATGGTTTAAAACAGTGGTTGTAAACTTGCTGTGACCCTTTAATACAGTTCCTCATGTTGTGTTGACCCCCAGTCATAAAATTTATTGTCTTTGCTACTTTATAACTGTAATTTTGCTACTGGTTTGAATCATAATGTAAATATCTGGCATGCAGGGTATCTGATATGTGACCCCTGTGGGGGTTGAGAACACTGGTTTAGAGTATAAATATATAGCTTTTGGAATCAGCTAGTGTACAAAGTAATGGGTAACATTATGGCATTCTCATACATGCTTCAGTCTTATTCCTTTTGCCCCATGGTACTCCCATTTTACTAATCCCCTTCCTCTTCCACATAGCCCACTTTCTGCTTTCTTATCACAAATGCTGCATCATTCTTTTTCCCTAAGATCTCTTTTTCATTTCTGTGTCCCCTTTTCTGTTTTATGACCACACTTACAGAAACATATTTTAAGTCCAGATTTTTCAGATATGAGAAAACACAGTATTTGTCTTTCTTTGACTGGCTATTTCCCTTAACATGGTGATTTTCATTTTCATCCATTTTCCTCATAGGATGAATCTGTCTAGACTTTGAACTTCTCTGACTTTTTTGTTTCTTGGCATTCTTTTTTTAAAGTTTATCTAAAATATTTTTGGTTCCAGAAAGCATGTTTGGTGTGCAGGAAAGAATGTTACTGTTGCCTGTATACTTTTTATTGTTCTTAGGATGACAAATTTCATCTACAGCATTTTTTCAATCTTACTGCTGAGATCCACCTTTCCAGTTGTTAGTGGACACTAGTACAGTGCTGTGGTTCAGGCACGGAGCAATAATTCATAACATCTTCCTTAAAGTCCATTGACCCTTTGTGAACTGCCATTTACTTCTAATACTTCTCTCCAATGTTAAAATAGCTACTTTGAGCCTGAAACAATAGGCATAAGTGAAATAATTATTGTAATAACTCTGTCTGGGCTATTTTC